GGCCACAGGCTGGTGGGACTGAAATATCTCTGAATGGACAGTTTAGGGGAGCAGGATGTCCAAGGAAGGTGGAATCTTGAGAAGGTAAATAGAATTTTGCATTTTAGACCCGAGTGAAGAAATTTCTATGTGTGATGGTGTCTTGTGGGCAGGTTAATGTGTCTATCATCTGAATAATGGTCTCTGGCACGGCCACTTGGATGAATGTGGAGGTGAGTGTTTTCTTTGTCAACATCTTAATATGATGCCCTGGACCTGGATTCAGTTGAAGCTCTGCTTAGGGAGGCCCTAGTAGGGTCACAGTATACCTGGAAATTGAATTTGTGAGCTGTCATCTAAGATAAGCAAGTACATGTTATATACAGTGCCACAATAACCAACCCTTGGGGCCAGCAAGGACTTACATTCTGGGAACCAAACGGCTGTCATTGCAGCTCCTACCTCAGGTCCCCTGCTGGCCCATACCCTTTGCCAGCCTCAGAGTGCCTGAGTGTTGCCTGGTCTCTGCTGGAGGTCATTGTACTCCAGATGTCCACAGTGCTGTCCCTGCTGTGCCTGGTTGTGTGGATCCTTGCCCATCCGCATCTGGTCATAGTCTACATGGTAGAACAGACTACTGAAGGAGGGGGCTGTGACCCAGTGAGCCCTCCCAGCTCCGCCGATACTGATCAGTGTTTGCACGATCTACAAGTGAGGCAAGCGTGCCTGCTGGAGTGGCACGGGGCATTTCAAGACTGTCCCGATTAGAACATCTCACTCAAGGAGATCCTTCAAGGAAGTGACTGGGTGTGGCTCTCCTCCCACCCATCTGCCCTGCAGGACCTGCTCTGAAACTTGGCAATAAATCCGTGGGCCCGTTCTAAGTGGAAGAGGTGGTGACCTTGCGCCTTGCATCTGCCCTTTCCCATCCACACACGTCCACTAGCACTTTTGATCACACCCAGAGGTATCCTGCCCACTGGAGCTTGCCCTGTACTCTCTGTCCTCATGCTCCACCTCAGTGATTAAGAATAAAGTACCATAGGAGGCTTCCTCCTCTGCCCTTCTTCCTCACCAGCCACAGCCGGATGAGAATTCCTCACCACAGGTGCAGTGGAAGTCAAGACCTATGTCCTCTGCTTAATGTTCCCACCACAACCCACTTTTTTGTATCTGTAGCTTGCACAGCCTCCAGCATGAACAGTGTGTGCTGTTTCCACTTGCCAAAAGGAAGTTGGTGGACACAGGTGTAGAGGGCTTGTTATATTGCGTGAAGCCCATCGGAAGTCCTGATACACGTGCCTTCTTGCAGGAACGTCACCTCAGAGCATGACCGTGGCTGCCCTCCTCACCTGGTGGAGGAGCAGAGCAAGTCTGAGCACTGAATTCAGGTCAGTGGCCTGGGCCTGCTGTCCAACGTATTCTAGGCCTGAGAAGTCACCCTAAAATGAAGCCAAGATACAAAGACAACAGAAATTCCAGAAGATGTTAATACAAGCTCCAGCTGGAAAGAAGGCAGGTTCCCTGGTTTCATCAAAGAAAGATTCACCATGAATAAACTGCTCACTAGGGAAAGTGGCAGAAACACTGGACGTCCTTAGGATTGGGTTAGTTCCTTGGAAACAAGCCGAATTTAGGAGTAAAATCTCTTTGAACTTTAAACCAACCAAATATAACCACACAGTTGATACTTCTTTTATTTTATTATTACTGAGTTGCTCAGGAAATTATGGGGGTATTCTTAATATTATGATCATTAGTATTAATGATCATTATTAGTGTTAATAACCATTTGCATGGTGCTCTGTTGTTTATGAAGCTCTCATTTGTATCATCTCATTTTCTCACAGCGAATTCCTTGGAGAAACCCAACATTTATCCTCATTTTCTTAGTGAATTTATTAATGGATTTACAACTTGTCTAGTAACCTACCAGAAAATTTCCGGGAAGGAAACAGTTGAGTTCTCCAGAATTTGAATCTGATAAGAGCTAGATTTTTTCGTTTGCAATGTTTACTCCATGCCTCTTGATAAACACTGAGAAGAAATATGTTTTCAAAGATCCAGAGAATGGTAGGCTATAAAGACACTATCAAAGAGAAGCTCTGCTCAGGGCGAGACTATATGTATGTATATCAAAGGAGAAGATATAGATTGGTGTTTCTCATGCTTTAACCTTGAGCTCTGGTTAAAATGCAGATTTTGATTCAGTCAGTCTCAAGTAAGGCCTGAGTTTCTACATTTCTAATAAGCTGCAGATGAAGATGCTCTGCTGTTTGCAGACCACACCTGGCAGAGCCGGCCTACGGGGAAGTTTCCTGATGATTAGTCATCCACAAGGGGACAGATTAGGGGTGCTTGTTACTATCAGGGAACATACTGGAATGAGGGTCCCAGAGAGGCACCTCCACACCCACCTGCGCCTCTGCACTTAGCAGGGTGGGGAGGGGAGGCTCTCACGCCCGTGAACAGAAATTGGGATTAGTGATGTGTGCTTTGGTAATTAGAGATTGTGCTGATGAAGTTCTGGCCAGAAAACAAGGATTGCTGGCCGCTGGAGTGATCACTACATTGTATTAGCACTGTCTTTAAAAACAGTGTGATTGTGTGTGTGTGTGTGTGTGTGTGTGTGTGTGTGTGTGTGTGGTTTCACCACCAAACTGCCAAAATGCCCCTATTTTTAAGAAAAGAATCTGTCCATCTGGCTCTTGCTCATACTAGCTTGGAGCGAGCCCAGCAGGTACCCGGAGGAACCTCAGGAGCGGTGGGCAGGGGCGCCTGGTGAGTGCTTGAGGCAGGGAGGGCTGGACAGGAGGCAGAGCATTCTTTGGAGCAGGTGTGGTCAAAACCAAGGGAGGCACAAACTCTCCTGTGTCTGAGGTGTGGGCAACTTCAGACAAAGTGAGGACAATCAGGAGCTTATAGCCAAAGGAAAGAGCCTGGTGAGAAGGCAGGAAGCGTCAAAGGAAGACTCAGACAGTGGCCCAGAGGGGACCCGAGCCCTCATCTTAGCAGTCCAGGGCTTCACCTGCGGGAGTGGGGGTGAATGCTTCAGCTTTGCGGGCCGTACAATCTCTATCACAACCACGTACCGTGCCCCGGAGCTGCCTTCGATGTCAATGCATGGCTGCAGCAGCGCGCCAGGAAAACTGGGAACTGAACTGTGAAGTTCATATAATTTTCTGGGTCCCCAAATATTATTCTTTTGGGGTTTTTTTCCAACCACTTAAAAACGTGAAAACCATTTTCAGCTTGCAGGCTGCACAAAGACAGAAGGCAGACTGGATTTGGCCTGCAGCTGGAGTTGGCCACCCCCAGCAGAGAGGCTGAGTTGGTCTGATAGGATTCCAGGGTACAGATTCTTTCACTGTAAATTTTAGAAATTGTAATAAGATGGGTTGGCACAAAGTTTAGCACATAAAATACATATTAAAATGGGGGGGAAATGGAAGGGTTGGGATTATTCCATATTTGAGATGTAAAACCCACTGAGGCTATTCTCTCTAATATGCAAAAGCATGCTAAAATAAATTTATTTTGAATAATGATAAGACTCTTGCACCATACGTCATGAAGTATTTCGTTTCTACTGGCCCTCGCAGCAGCCTTTCTGAGTGGTTGGACCAGGCATTGGCCCTCCTGCCCTCACAGCTGGTGTCACTAACCCAAGGTGACAGTGCTACCAAGAGCAGGCCAGGTTGTCCTTTGGAAGAACAGTGTCTTAAAATGTCATTTGCAAGTCATGCATGGAACATGGACCTTTTTACTTTAGAGAAAGAAAAACATGCTGAGTAGGATCCACAGATGGCCATTACGTCTGTGAAGCAGCAGAACTGTAGTCCTGTAGACTCAGTGTGAGCTTCGAAGCCTGGGGCCTGTGAGGAGGAGGAAGGACTAGGTGAAAAATAACTTTCTTTGCCCCTCAGTGGCCCTAGACAAAAGTCCCAAGTGATCAGTGATGTCTGTGCCACCTGCCCCTGTTGGATTCTGCTCCCCCATCTCTGGCCATCCGGGCCCTCCACCATGCCCCAGTCCCTCCTGTAGAGCTCGGTGTAGGGAGCTTTTCATGCGGAGGAGCCCTGCCCGGCAGTCTGCCCTCTAGTGTCAGGAGCTGTAATGAGAACCGGGTGAGGAAAAGGCCACCAGCTAACAGCTGCTTTTGCCCCAGACTCACACACGCTCTTGTTTTCTGTCTCCAACTTTCCTAAACTTCCTGGCTGGAAATTGCCACCTCCCCTGCTTCTCTTGCTGGCCTTCTATGACGGCCTTCAGGAGACTAGGCGGACAAGAGGGAGGGATTCTGTGGGCACTGAGTCGCTGGGACCAATGTGAGGGGCTCCCCTCGGCCAGCCCGCGAGTTGCTGAGAGGCGCTTTGTCACGGGCTGAAACTTTCCAGCAGCCTTCCCGGATGGGACTGTGTTGTGCCGGGTTATCACTTGGCAGAGGCTTGATCTTCAGAAAACAATTAAGACCTGGAAATCTGGTTGATGAATAGATGATGCTGCTGTTTAACCCAGATGCCTCTTTCCAGGTATCTGCACCTCGAGTCGGGCAGCTGTGACCGTGAGGGGGCTCGGAGGTACTGTCTGGAGTAGTTGCTGCTTTCGTGTTTAGTGCAATGGCCCGGAAGAGCTGGCCATGGTAGCTTGCGTGCAGCGCCTGCTCCCGAGTCGAGACTAGACAGCAGCCCTTCCTGCGCAGTGCGACCTGCCTCGTCCTCTCTCCTCTTAGCACACCAGTCTTCATGTTGAGTGTTGTGTTTGTCTTGTCCCTGGCTGCGGCATCAGCTTGTCCTTCCCCTGCAGCTGGGCCCAGCCGAGTGAATGGTGCCGAAGAAAGACCCCTTCCAAGGTTTGGCCGAGTCGGAGGGTGGGCACTTTTCCTGGCTACTCTGGAAGCAGGCCCTCCTTCGAAAAAATTGCTGAGGGCCTGTGAAGGAGGCCGATCTCCTCTCTGCGCCCCCAGCCTCTGCTGCCGGGAAGCTCTGAGGCTCCAGGAATGCCTTGTCTCTTTCCAGGTGGGACTGGAGTACCCTCATCCCTCCATGGCTCCGACAACGGCAGTTCGGGCTGCAGGCAAAAGGCCAGAACTTTATGCTGGAAGACTCCACCTTCTGGATCTTCGGGGGCTCCATCCACTATTTCCGGGTGCCCAAGGAATACTGGAGGGACCGCCTGCTGAAGATGAAAGCCTGTGGCCTGAACACCCTCACCACGTGCGTGCCCTGCCCCACCCCTGGCCACCAAGCCTGGTTACCGAGTAGGGCGCCTGGTGTCTGCGTGTGGAGAGATTTAAGAGGAGGAGCCAGCCCCAGCCCTCTGCTTAGTGCTGAAGGGTCAGAGTGCCCCTTCCGCCTCACCCCCACAGAGCTCCCGAGTGATGGGCATGAAGGGATTGTGGATGTGAGGTCTAGAGGAACCAAAGAAGCAATGTGTGAAGGAATATAGTGAAGGAGGTGAGTGTAGATGTAGGAGGTGATTCAATGATAGTGGACAATTTTTTTAACAAGCAATCTCCGCACCCCCAGTTTATACAGCCCTGAGTGCGGTCTTCTTCGGGATAGCCACCCGAGCAGCTCTCTGTCGGTAACTCTCAGCACTCTTCTTGTGGAATAACCCAGCACGTAGCGTGATGACTGGCACGTGGCAGGCACTCAGTGAAATGTTGAGTGTGTGAATCATTTACAAAATATGCTCAGGTGTGAACAATCACGGTATTTTCGTGGATTTTCTTTTTTCCCAAATTGCCAACAGATACTTGGTTCTTAGTCTGTAAATTAAAACGGGCGATCAGACTGGAATGGTTCCATTCTCAGGCAAAAATATGTGATTACAAATCAAGGAAATGGATTTTCTTGGGTGATTTGTGGACTGATTTTGAAGACAGTTCCTAAAAGAGTGACAGGAATGCTCTGAGCCATGACTTGCCAGAAAGGACTCCTGGAGGTTGTAGGAACACTGCAGGGGGCCTCAGGAACCAGGGCAGTCTGGGTTTGCTGAGACAGAACTCCGGTGTCCGAATTGGAAGCTGGACAGCCTGTCCCGCCTCCCCTGGGCTATTCCTTGCAGTTGGAGGGGCTCTGGCAGGAGTCAGCAATGGGGCAGGGTCTGGGAGAAGAGCGGCTGTTGTCCCTCCAGCCTCTGGAGTTGGGCCTCTTCAGAGCCTCCTTCATCTGCTTATCTTCTCTTTAGAGTTAGAACCTCCATCCTGCTGCAAGTTTTCAAATTCTAGCCGCTTCAGTACATGACAGGACTGATAACTAAGGTTTCCTCTTCCAGTAAAGTTACTTCTTCTTCTCTAACAGGGGGTGGGAATGGTGGGCTGACCTGGGCTCACAGAGCTGACCCCAAACCTTGTCGACCTTCTCCCCTTCTGCTAAGAGACATTAGTTCCGCTGGGCTGGTCTGGATCTGTTCAGTCAGTTCTTGGTTCCAGTCCTAAAGTCATGAGAAACACACCTGCAGCCATCATACTGGGTATTAAGGATAAAGAAGGTAATCTGGGAGGTGAAGTGGAAAGAATGACAAGCTCCTGCCTGCAATTGTCTCTGTCGTTACAGCTACGTTCCATGGAACCTGCACGAGCCAGAGAGAGGCAGATTTGACTTCTCTGGGAACCTGGACCTGGAGTACGTGGAGTTGCTGCCTCTGTGACCTGGCCCGGGGTCGGGGCAGGGAGGGGGCTACTCGGGGTGGATTAGGAACTATAGAGAACCAGACAGGGACCTGTGTCTGGAGCCTTGTTCTCAGGACCCTGTGAGAGGCCCTGTACCCAGGACCCGGATGCTCCCCAGCCGTGACCTGTCACCCTGTGGGGTTGGGCCTGCAGCCTCTGGGCCACATTCTCCATGGCAGCCCAGGGTGGGGCTGAAGACCCTGGGTGCTGCCCGACTGCAGAAGGGTCCAGCACCTGGGCTGGGACAGGGGCTGCCTCTCTAGGGCAGCAGGGCCGTTGGGGTCAGGTTCACTGTTAAGCCGGCTGTGCGCTGTCTGACGCCTTCCTCCTCAGGCCCCCATGGGGCTGTGCGGATGGTCTGAGGCTGTGCGCAGCTCTGGCCCCAGGCCTGGTGTGGGATTCCCTGCTGTGCTGGGCTGGGTGGAGCCTTGCCTTCACCCAGGCCGTCTGCCTGGTTGAGAGAGGGGGCCAGGAGAGGAGCTGGGCTCCCCCACAGCCTCTGCCCTGGACGGTCATGGCAGATGCTGACTTGTTTACCTCCCCAGGGCCTTCGTCCTGATGGCCGCAGAGATCGGGCTGTGGGTGATCCTGCGTCCGGGCCCCTACATCTGCAGCGAGATCGACCTGGGGGGCTTGCCCAGGTACGTGGGGCTGTGAGGGGCTCCAGTGTAGCTTGAGGGTCCTTCGTGCTGGTGCGAAATGCTCACAGACATAGGTCTAGTTTTGCTTTTAAATTACAGTTTTCATTCTGTACTGAATTTCCTTTTCGGAATAAGTGGCACCCCAATGGGGTCATTTTGGATGATGTTGTGGTTACTGCCCCGGTAAAGTCGTGTGGATCACTTCGTGTGGCAGGCAGCAGGGGAAGGGTTGGCCCTCCTGAGGGATTTCATTCTTCCAGGCTCTGCTGTGGAGCGGGACCCCAGGCAGGTCATGTCTGCTCCGGACCTCATTTTCCCTGTCTTCAAAAGGGGCAAACCAGCCCTGCTCTGTGTATTTCTTAGGGAAGTTATTAAGCATGTTTTGAAGAGCCCAAGTATTCTGATAAAGTATTCTGTGGCTAGACAGGAAATCTGGTCAGGAATGAGTTGGGACCACATTCATTCCTCGCCCTCATCATTACTGCCAGGAAGATTTCCTCGTTAATGGGTGTAATCTTTCCCTTCTCACTGTTGGACCGGGCTCCCCACCTGATGCTGCCCCAAGGGGCAGAAGGCTGATGCTGTTCCCTCTGCGCTCCTGGGGCTGTTTTCCTCCTTGTTTGCAGTGCGACCTGCCCTCGGGGCCGGCGTCTGCCTCCAGGTCCTCCACACCCAGGGCTGGTTCCTCGTCCAGTCGTGCCCTGGACAAGGCTGTGAACACAGCCAGAGCACCGTGCCCTCCCCTCCCCCCGGATTAGGAATCTTTGTGCCACAGTCAGCGATTTCCTCGGGCTCAGCTGGAGCCGGGCACAGGAGGACAACAGGGTTTAACGGTCTTAGCTCAGAAGCAGAGGGGAGCTCTGGCACTCAGACTGCCCCTCCACCCCGTGGCACCTGCCCATTCATGAGAGGGGGCATGTGGGGCACACCCTGGGAGAAACCTGCCCCCTTTGATGCAGAACAGAATGTGGAGGCATCAGTCTGGAGGAAACTGCTCTCTTCTCATCCGTTGTTTTACCAACATAAACTGGATAATTCCCTGACCCTGTTCAGGACTCCCAGATCAGGGCCAGAGTGTCCCACAGCCTTCCGTTAGAAAATGTGAATGTTTTCTCAGAACTTCAAGTGAGAAGTACCTTGACTCCAGCTGGGGAACCACTCCATGGTGTTGTCTTCCTCTGGGGGGTCTGGGATCCCAACAGACAGGCTGGAGAAAGAGCCCTCCACAGCTGACAGGGCCAATGCCAGGAGTCTGCGTGCTGGCGTGGACAGCAGCCAGACCCTGGGAAACTCCTGGCAGCCTCCCCGTCAGGCTTGTGTTTGTGGGTGATGCTGGAAGTTTGCGTCCGTGTCCTTCTCCAGCCTCAGTGATGCCTAACCTCTTTACCTTCCCCTCTTTGTACTGGGATCATAGAATAAATGCTTGAAAACTTGGCCTGTGAAAAGCTTTTCTCACTGCCTGGCAGCCGGCACCTGTACCCGTGAAGCTGGAAATGAGCTTCCCCGAGGGCTGCATCTTTGGGACAGAAAGCCTCAAGGGTGCAGGTGGCGGCTGCACGCATCAGCTTGTACCGTCTCCCAGATCCAGGCTGAGTGAGGTCGGGGTGGGACCGGGTCATTCCTGAGCACTCCACCACCAGCAGGCCACAGCAGACCCACGGCCGTGACGCTAATATCATCTCCCCTCCCTTTCACTCCCAGCTGGCTACTCCAAGACCCTGGCATGAGGCTGAGAACAACCTACAAGGGCTTCACCGAAGCAGTGGATCTTTATTTTGATCACCTGATGTCCAGGGTGGTGCCACTCCAGGTACAAGCAAACTGACTCTTCTTTCCTCCTCACCTGTCTTCCCACTAGGGCGCGCCCTTCTTTTCAGCACAGGAACACACTCTTCCCCCTTGCCTGAGACTGCAGTCAGTTGGAGGGGCTTGCAGTAGTTGTCTTTGGAAGATCTGTGCGTTTCAGTGTTGCCTCAGGTGGGCGCAGTGCTGAAAGGACAGACAGGTGTAAGGATCACGTGGCTCCGTGCAGTGCTGGAGCTGTACTTGTGATGAGTAGACAGGGATGTCTTGATAACCAAGAATACTCGTCTGTCAGCGTCCCGGTAGCACAGTGGCTCAGCTCTGCAGAGAGGACCACATGTGGATCAGCCCTTGCTGACAAGACAGCAGGACTTTTTGTAAATTCTTCTTGTAAATTACAAAATTCCAGCTGATGACTTTTCCAGGTACTTCCCTTTGTTACCAAAAGGGCGCTGCATGGTACACATTTGCTGTTAAAAACATATGTGTTAAAATAAATTTTAGAGGAAAAGTATTTTAACATTTCACATAATAATTGGAAGCAATAAAAAAGCAGGAATGGGAAAAACCAATCCAGTTGCTTGTATAAAAACGTGAAGAGTGACTCTGAGAAATTAGTACATCAATAAAAAATTAATACATCAGTAAAAATTGCTCTTAAGTCAATAGTTTGGAATATTCTCAGCACACATAAAGGGAACTGCCAGATAAAACACAGGCTACCCAGTTAAGTTTGAATTTCAGATAAGCAAGCATTAATTTTTTTGGTATCAATATATCCTAAGTATTGTAAGCATGGGCCATGCTTACACTAAAAAAATTTTTCATTGTGAATTCAAATTTAACTGGTTGTCCTGTGTTTTTATTTATTAACTCTGGCAGCCCTAATCATGAAAGAATCAAGAAGCCAGGAATTTTTTAGCCAATGTTGTGCAGGGAAGATGGGGTTGCAGACACGATTCGGCAGGCTATAGCAGCAGGGGGCCAGCACCCGAGGTGGGTGGGGACAGTGGGGAAGGCCACTCTGGGAATGTGGCTTTGAGGCACTTGTAGACATGGAAATGGAATACCAAGGCTTTTTTCCCCTCGGGTATGTCATATTATTTTATTAATTTTATTTTATTGTTATTTTATTTATTTTTTATTGTAGTAAAGAATATATAACATAAAACTTGTCATTTTGACCATTTTTAAGTTTACAGTACAGTGGCGTTAGGTACATTCACATTGTTGTGCAACTATCACCACAGTCTTAGTTCAGGCTACTATAACAAAGTACCGTAGACTGGATGGCTTACAAACAACAGACATTTATTTCTCACAGTTCTGGAGGCTGGAAGTCCAAGATCAAGGCACTGGCAGATTTGGTGTCTGGTGAGGGCTCTCTTCCAGGGTACAGATGGCTGTCTTCTTGCTGTATCTTCACGTGGCAGCGAGACAGCGAGAGAGCTCTCTGGGGTCTCCCTTATAAGGGCACTAATTCCATTCACGGAGGCTCCACCCTCATGACCTAATCACCTGCCAAAGGTCCCACTTCTAAACACCGTCACATTGGGGTTAGGATTTCGACGTATGAATTTTGGGGGAACACAAACATTCAGTCTGTTGTAACCACTCTCCATCTCCAGACCTTTTTCATCTTTCCCAATTGAAACTCAGTACCCATTGAACGCCCCATTCTTCCCTTTGTATAGATTCTGGCAGCCATCATTCTACTGTCTGTCTCTGTGAGTTTGACTATTCTAGCACCTTATATAAATGGAATCACAGTATTGTGAGACTGGCTTATTTCACTTAGCATAATGTTCTCAAGGTTTATCTTGGTTGTAGCATGTGTCAGAATTTCCTTCCTTTTGGAGGTTGAATAATACTCCACTGTATTTATACACCACAGTTTGTTTATTTCATCCATCAGCAGACACTTGGGCTGTTTCCATGTTTTGGCCACTATGAAGAATGCTTCTGTGAACATGGATGTACAAAATATCTTTCCGAGTATTTGCTTTTACTTCTTTTGCAAATATACCTAGAAGTGAAATTGCTGGATCAAATTATGATTCTATGTTTAATTTTTTGAGGAGCTGCCATACTGTTTTCCATAGAAGTCACACCAGATTACATTCCCACCAGCAATGCACAAGTATTCCAATTCCACCACGTCCTTACCAACACTTGTTATTTTCTGTTTATTTGGTGAGAGCCATCCTAATAGTTGTGAAGTAGTATCTCATTGTGGTTTTGATTTGCAGTTCCCTAATGACTAGTGATGTTGAGCATCTTTTCATGTGCTTATTGGCCATTTGTATATCTTTGGAGAAAAGTTTATTCAAGTCCTTTTCCCATTTTTGAGCCTAGTCTTTTTTTGTTGAGTTATAGGAATTCTTTATATATTCTGAATATCAATTCCTTATCTGATCTATGATTTGCATATATTTTCTCTCATTCCATGGATTGCCTTCTCCTTTGATAGTGTCCTTTTATGCACGAAAGTTTTTAATTTTGATTAAGTCCAATATATTTATTTTTTCTTTTGTTGTCTTTGCTATTGGTGCCATATCCAAGAAATCATTGCCAAATGCAAGCTAATGAAACTTTTTTCTTATGTTTTCATCTCAGAGTTTAGTACTTTTTTAGCTCTTATGTTCAGGTCTTTGATCCATTTTGAGTTAATTTTTATATATGATGCAAGGTAAGAATCCAACTTCATTTTCTTTGCACGTGAATATTTAGTTTTCCCATCACTTGTTAAAAAGACTTTTCCCCGTTGAATGGCTTTAACACCCTTGTCAAAAATCATTTGACCAGAGCTGGGTGTGGTGGGCCGTGCTTGTAATCCCAGTGACTCGGAAGGCTGAGGTGGGAGGATCGCTTGAAGCCAGGAGTTCAAGGTTACAGTGAACTATGATCATGCCACTGTACTGTAGTCTGGGCAACAGAGTGAGACCTCTTCTCTAAAAGAAAAAAAATAAACATTTTACCATATGTCTGTCTTTATGCCAGTATCACACTATTTTGATTAGTGTAGCTTTGTGGTAAGTTTTGAAATCAGGAAGTGTGAGACCTCTAACTTTGTTCTTTTTCAACATTGTTTTGGCTATTCATTATCCCCTGAGAGGCCCTATGAATTTTAGGATGGCTTTTCTATTTCAGCAAAAACATTTTTGAGATTTTGATAGTGATCGCATTGATTCTGTAGATCACTTTGGATAGAATAGGCTTCTTAACAATATGAAGTCTTCTAATTTGTGAACACAGGATGTCTTTCCTTTTATCGGTGTCTTCTTTATAGTCTTTTAGTGTCATATTATAGTTTTCTGTACCTTATTGGTTATATTTATTTCTAAGTATTTTATTATTTTTAATGCTATTGTAAATGTAAATGTTCATTGATAGTTTATACAAACAGAATTGATTTGTGTATTAATTTTATGTCCTACGAGTTTGCTGGATTCATTAGCTATATAATTTTTGTGTTTGTGTGTGTAATCTTTATGATTTTCTACATTTAAGGTAATGTTGTTTGCAAACAGAGATCAATATACTTTTTTCTTAACAATTTGGATGGCTTTTGTTTATTTTTCTTGACTAATTGCTCTGGCTAGGACTTCCAGTACTATGTTGCATAGAAATGGCAAAAGCAGGCATCCTTGTCTTGTTCCTGATCTTAGGAGGAAAAGCTTTCAGTTTTTCACCATTGACTATGATGTTGGCTATGGGCTTTTCATAAACAGCCTGCATTATGTTGAGGCAATTTCCTTCTATTCCTAGTTTGTTGAGTGTTTTTATCATGAAAGAGTGTTGAATTTTGTAAAATGCTTTTTCTGCATCAATTGAGATCATCATGTTTTTTTTCTTAATTTTGTTAATGTGGTGTGTTACACTGACTGATTTTTGTATGTCAAATCAATCTTGCATTCCAGGAATAAATCCCACTTGTTTATGGTGTTAATAATCCTTTTAATATGCTGCTGAATTTATTTTGCTAATACTTCGTTGAGGATTTTTGCATCAATATTTATGAGGAATATTAGTCTTTAGTTTTCCTATAGTGTCTTTGTCTGGTTTGGTAATTCTGGCCTCATAGAATAAGGAGTGTTTTTTCCCCTTCAGTTTTTGGGAAGAGTTTGAGAAGGACTGGTGTTAATACTTCTTTAAATGTTTGGTAGAATCTAACAGTGAAGCCATCTGGTTTTGGGCTTTTCTTTGTTTGAGGTTTTTGGTTACCCATTCAATCTCCTTACTAGTTATAGTTCTATTCAGATTTTCTATTTCTTCATGATTTAGTCTTGGCACATTGTATGGTTCTGGGAATTTGTTTCTTCTAGGTTATTCAATTTGTTGGTGTACAATTGTGCATATTCCTCTCTTTTTATTGCCATAAAATCAGCAATAATATCCCCTATTTTGTTTTTGATTTTAGTTGAGTCTTTTCTCTTTTTCTCTTGTCTGTTTAGCTGAAAGTTTGTCAGTTTTGTTGATCTTTTCAAAACACCAAATCTTGGTTTTGTTACTTTTTTAAAATTATTTTTGTATTCTCTCTTTTATTCTCTAATCTTTGTAATTTCCTTCCTTCTGCCACCTTTGAGTGTAGTTTGTTTACCTTTTTCTGTTTTCTTAAGGTATAGAGTTAGGTTATTGATGTAAATGTGTTCACAGCTATAAATTTTTCTCTTAGCACTGCTTTCAGTACATCCCATAAATTTGTTGTGTTTTCATTTTCATTTGTCTCAAGATATTTTCTAGTTTCTCTTATGATTTCCTCTTTGAGCATTGGTTATTTAAGAGTGTGTTAATGTCCACATATTTGCATTTTCTGATTTGCCTTTTGTTATTGATTTCTAGTGTCATTCCATTGTGATTGGAAAAGAAACTGTGAATTCAGTCTTTTAAATTTATTAAGGCTTGTTTTGTGGCCTAACATATACTCTATCTTGGAGAGTGTTCTATGTGCCTGTGAGAAAAGTATGTATTGCACTGTTTTAGGATGGAGTATTGTGTGTGTGTGTGTGTGTGTGTGTGT